TGGAGGTTGCGAATTTGGGCCAGTGCAGCTCCGAATAATCCGACGTAGGTCATATATCCCGTGTTCTGGTCCAAAGACAAATCATGGTGCCGTGTTGTAGGTCCGAATCGCGCCAGTGGAGCGACCAGGCCGCACCAAGGTCCACGGACCAGGAGGTCCACGGCGGCAGCGGAGGCGGCAGTGGAGGCGGTTGTGGATGCGACAGCGGCTGCGGCTGCGGCAGCGGCTGCGGCTGCGGCGGCGGCGGCGGTGGCAGCGGCGGCAGCGGCGGCGGTTGCGGCACCAGCTACGTGCCCCGACAAACATTCTGTTCCAATCCCATCCAGGGTCCGCTCTGGCCAAATTGGTCAGGCCGCGTCTGGCCGTGGATCCCAGGAAGCCCAGGAGACCTCCGAAGCGGCGACGTCGTCGCACCTGCAGAGGAGGACCAGAACGACGATGCAATCGCTCCCCTTCCGCGCGAGGAGGAGGAAGAGAGGTCTCCCGACATCCTCTTCAAACACCTCGGCTTCGCGAGAACCTCGCTCCATGAGAACCTCCAAGATCTCCTCCGCCTCCAGGAGGAGTATAGGCCAACGGCGACGATTCCGACGCTCCGTCTCCGCGCGAGGAGGAGGCTGGCGGATCTTCGGGCAGCAAGTGGCGCTTTTGACCCCCCCCCGCCTCGTCGATTTCGCCGTCGCCGTTGTCGTTCGGAGGGTCGTAAAGTCCTTCCATATGCCGATGCGGGGTGCAGGACTGACCAAGTGTTTGGGCGGGAATCATCGGCGTCGTCATCATCATCGTCGTCACCGTCGTCGTCGTAGCCAGAGAGAGATGACGAGAGGGAAGGGTAGGTGAAGGAGCAAGATGACGTTGTATGGAATCTAGAGCGTCACAGGAGTGATGGGGAGGGGCGACGGAGCGACTCTGAAGACGTGGGCAGGCCAGCCACCAACCAACGAAGTTGCGAATTCACCTTCCAGTTGGGAGCTATTTGGGAGTCCTCACAGGTTTCGATGTGAAGTGATTTGATGCATGTGTGTTCAATCGTTGGAGCTTTGTCAAACGCCCTCCATATCGGCTGTTTTGCAAACTGAGTTGTTTTATCGTGAATGCCTTGCTACCGGTGTCGCCGACCCTGAAGGCGGTACCTTCCCCGGGGGCCCCGCTGGCGACCCCCCCAGGGGAATTTTCCCCCCAGGACCCGACCCCCTCCCCCACTGGGGGGGCCCTCCCCTTGTCCCCCCAGTCCACAGGGGGACCAAACTCCGGGGGTTTGCCTGAATCCCCAGGAGGCGGCAATATGACCCAGACCCCCCCCACCATCCCCCCCCCCGTTCCCCTCCCCGTACCCCTCCCCCGTCAGGGAAAGGAAATGAGGAAGGGAATCGATTTGACTACGACGTTTCTTTTCTCTGTTCTTTCCTCGAGTTCCTTCGGATTGGCGACGACGGCGACGATTCCGACGACGACGACGACGAAGACGACAGCGTCTCACACACGCCGAATGGTCGGCGGCTTCGTTTTCCGAGCCCTCACAGGTATGATATTGTTGGATGCGGTTGTTCGTTACGATTGTTTTGGGGGTCATGCTTCCGAACCGTCTTCTTACCGCCTTCAGGTGCTCGTCATATTGTCGCCTTGTGTCGTTGCTTCGCGGGTTATGTGTTCTGTTGGATTGGCATGTTATCTCCCCTTTGTGATGGAGTGCACACCAAACTCTTCTACGGACTGGTTCACAATTTGGTTCCCTTAGTCTGCCTGTTGTTCCTTCTCTGTGGATTTCACAGAATCACAAGCGTTGGACGTACTCACAGCTTCAATGGATTTTTGGCAGGCTTTGTATTCGGTAGATATCTTTGCATGTTTTGTTGTTTGTTTTTGCGTGTCCATGTTTTCTTCGGCTGTATCGAGGACCTCAGCACAGCCTTCTGCCAGTGGGGCCAGCTGGAACACATCATAGCTGGGTACCCTCTTTGGAATATTGTTAACCTTTCGCGTACTCCCATCCGTCCATCCAGAGACGATCACCGGTCGAATTGTTCAATACAGGCTTGCGCGGCGCAGGAGGATGAGAAGAACGAGACGGAGAAACAGGAGGATGAGAGTGAAGGACGAGCATAATGATGGAAACGTTCCCGCTCCATTTCGGATTAATCTTAGTTGGCAGGATGGTGAAGGAGGACAGGAGAGGGCGGAGGAGGAGCAGGAGCGGAAATAGGAGGAGGAAGAGGAGGAGGAGGAGGAAGAGTATGAGTTGGAGGATGAGGAAGTGAGAAGAGGAGGGGGAGGAGGAGAACGAGGAGGAGGAGGAGGTGGAGTAGGAGCAAGGGAGGGTGGATGTGGGAAAAAGGGACCAAGAAGACTATGGTACGAGTTATCCACAAAAGCCTTGGCGGTCTCTCGCTCTCAGAAATATTATGGAGGCATCCTTGAGTAATCTTGGGGCAATTTTGGACGCCTGTGTGGCTTTCTTGGGCCCCTATTGGGGCTCTCTCGTAACAAGTCGCCTCGTCGGGCCCTCTTGGGACGCTTCCGTTGCAATATTGCGGAGGCCTTGCGACTGGTGCCGCCGACCCTGAAGGGGGACGACGACGACGACGACGGCGGCGGCGGCGACGACGACGACGCTCTCGTGGGTCAGAGTCCTCAGAGATGCTTCTGGGGGTCGCTTCAGAGCGCTCTCGGGGGCCTCTGGTGCGGCAGGTTCGGGGCTCTTGGGGGCCGCATGGGGGGCTCTCGGGAGCCTCTTGGCGGCTTCTTGGGACTTCTTGGGGGCTTCTTGGGGCCTCTTGGGGCCTCCTGAGGGCCTCTTGGAGCCGTCTTGGGGTCTCCCGTGAGCCTCTCGTGGCCGAGGGCGCGAAATGTCCTTTCGGACCCCCTGTCTGGGCACTCTGGGACCGTCTTGGGGCCTCTCGGGGCACGCACGCTTGGTCCGTCCTGGGGTCTTCCTGGGCTCCGGGATTCTCTGGGGGAGGGGATTGCATTCTGACCCATGACCCCCCCCTTCCCCGACTGGTGATCCCCCCAGGTGCTGTCCTTCGACTCAATTGCGACATTGCCCAATTTAGTTTTGGCTGGCGCGCTTCAAGAGGAGGGCCCAGGGACCAGGGGCGGAGCGGCGACGGCGACGGCGACGACGACGACTCAAATGGAAAAGCCTCTCGCACAAGCCGACAGGGTCGGCGGATTTTATGCTCTTGTGTCGTTCTTGGAGCCCTCCGTGGCCCCCTCTTGGAGCTCTCTGGAGCTATCCCGGGGCCATCTTGAGGCCTCAGAAGCCCATCGGAGGCGGACATGTGAGAAGGCAACCGGTCCTGAATAATCGTAGCAATTGACGGATTTCTGCCTCGTGGGGGTATCCTCAGGAGGTTCCGAGGCCACTTTGAGAAGTCTTGGGGCCTTTTTGAGGCATGCTGGATGCCATCTTGATCCGACTTGGACCATCTTGCACCATCTTGGAGGCGATCTTACTGCATCGTTGAGACATCCTGGCCCACATGCCTCCCAAGGATGCATGCCCCAAATCCTAAAAGTCCTTCAAGAGCAACTGGTGTCAAATGTAGCTGGATGGGGGTCTGCCATCTGTTGCCCGAATTGTCGTTTCTTGGAATCCTCTTGGGCCGCTCTTGGGCGTCCTTGGTTGTCCTTGGGGCCTTTTGGGGGACCTCCTGGGCCCCTATGAGGGGATGCTTGAAGCCGTCTTCGATCATCTTGTGCAATCTTGGAGATCGTCTTGGGCTATACGAAGCCATGCCGTCTGATCTGGAATGGTGCTCTCGACTGTCTCGACTAGGCGCCGGCCGCGTGTCTCATTAGAAATGGCGCTCTCGCTTGACCGCCAGCTATATTCCTGATTCGGAATGGTGCTCACGCCTGGGCGCCGACCACATCTCTAATTAGAAAGGGGGCTCCCGCCCGAGCGCCAGGCGCCAGCCACATGCCTGATTGAAAACGGCGCTCCCGTCCGAGCGTTGAGTCAATTCGCAGTCTCGTGGCCAGGCGCTACTCCGCACAACCAGTCCGGTACAGTCCAGTACAGTCCTCGTCTTGTGCGCGACTACTCTTCGCTCAACGAATCATTATTCGGGAAGGCAAGGTGCATTCCATGATTGATGTTTCTTCATGCCCTCCTTGGATTCCTTTAGAAGTCGTGTTGGGCCGTTTGGTTTGTCTTGGCGCCATGCTGGACCATATCGGAGGTACCTGTCTTTCAGTAAGACAAGGAGCATTACATGGTTGGTGTTTTGTCATGGGTCCTTTAGAAGTCTTTTCGGGCCGTCTTGGTCAGTCTTGACGCCGCTGGACCATATCGAAGGTGTCTGGAACCAAGTGGGAGTTCTGTGTAGACAGTCTTGGAATACATGCTGAGTTGCGAGACCTGGCGGGGATTCCTGGGGAAAGTTGGCAGACTTTCTGGGGTGGGGCGGTCAGTCGGTCAGTCGGATGAGCATTCCCAGGATAGTCCTTCGAAGCATCACACCGATAGACATGACGATGTGCATCCGATCCTCCATCACATGGAAATATTCACACGTAGGTATCGTCACACGGAGAGGGCGGGGTCAGACATCAAGGTTCCTGACGCGGTCTGCACCCCCAACGCCCAGTGCGGCACAGGAGACACCACGCGATCCCCCCCATGCCTTTGCCTGGAACCAGAGCAATCTGCAGTAATTCGGCGGAACGAACACGGGGGAGGGGCGCGAGGTGGGCGGCGTTCTAAGAGGGCAGGGGGGGCTTCTTAGAAGTAAGGGACCTTCTTAGGCGCGCCCAGAGACTTCCAAGGAGCCTGTTTAGATGCCTCCGGGCGTTACTGTGAAGGCCAATGCCTTCTCAGAAACCCCCTTGCCGTCTGAAAACGCCCCACCTCGCGAGATCTCCATTGTGCGCGCCGCCAAGTACTGCTGCTCGTTGATCCGATTTCTGGCGGCCTCCCTCTGGTTTGCCCTGGTCTGCCGGCCGGCGGTTCGTGCCGCCCTTCGCGGCCCACCACCCCCTTGGCCCGCGGCGGCCAGGTGGTCGCCTCTGAAGCGCCGCGACAGCGAGCGGCTGGAGCGCGTCGTGGCTGGCGAGGAGAGCGCTGATCTGGCTTCCAGGGTCGAGGCTCTCGGAGGTCTTCTGGGGCGCTGAGTGGCCCTCCGCAGGCCCCCAGAGGGATTCAGGGGCCTCGCGAGGCCTTCAAGGACCTCTGGAGGCCTCTGGAGGTCTCCCGAGGTCCCTCAAGACCCACGGAGGCGGTCGTCGTCGGTTGTCGCTGCGAGTGGTTTTTGGGCGTTTCTGAAGATTCGTTGCCCCTGCTGGGCGCGGTTCGACAAATTGGCTAGTTAGGATTTGCGCGCTCGTCGTCGTCGTCGTCGTCGTCGTCGTCGTCGTCGTCGTCGTCGTCGTCGTCGTCGTCGTCGTCGTCGTCGTCTGATGCCGTGTCCCGCTCCTCCTCCTTCCTCTATGTGTCTGTCATCGCTTTTTAGGCTTGGCGTCCTCCATGCGACGGACACAGATGTACTGGCCACTTCTCGGGCGCTTTGCAAAGATAAACTGCTGCCCACCTCCCCGCCACATCCGCATTTCAAGGATAACCGGAGCCTGGATCCAGGGAGAAGGAGGCAGGCTGCAGTCGCTGGTGCGGTTGCCCCAGGAGAAGATCCACGAACGTTTGTGACTGTGCCTGAAGGCGCAGAGGGAGCAGGACAAGAAGATGAAGAGCCGAGGGTAATGACGAACCGAACTGGGATGAGACCTGGCGGGATGGCTGGTGGGATCGCACCACGGATTGGTGGATAACGACCGACTGGGCGTCAGGCTGGATGTCAATGGAAAGAGCGAGACGCCTATCACGCTGCGCTCGCTGTCCAACCACACCATTCGCAAAAGAGACTCGCTGACGGATTTCGTGGTCCGGCTGGACGCGCAGCTGTCTCGCGCACAGTCGTTCAGTCTCGAACTTCCAGATCCAGTGATTGCGAGGTTTCTGGAAGAGGGTTCCCAGCTCACGGGCCAGATGAAGGTCAATTTCAGGACGCTGGTGGGCAGTGACATGTCAAGCCGGTCGACCAGGAGAGCGCTGCTGAAGTTAGACGTATCAGACAAAACCGTTTTTTTTTCCAAAGCAGCACGCATCAGGAAACAGGATTTCTCACATCTCAGAGCAGCAGGTGTTTAATGACAGCGAGGAAGAGCTCAACATACATGAATTGTAGAGTTCTCATACGAAGAACCAGCTGAGTTGTTTCACGAATCTTGAAGACCAGGATTTGCACGAGGACGAGGCGTTCCAGGTGTTTTCAGAACTAGCCGACTACAGGAATAATCGCGCCTGGAAATAATCACGACATTTTAAGGCAGCTGGAAAGGTAGACCCGGACTTTTTCTATCACAAGAGAGCTTCGGGGACCGGAAGGCGGATCAGCAAGGATGACCTCAAGCGCAGAACTTGGTGCACAAATTGCGGGGAGAAAGGCCATTGGCGCGAGGACTGCAAGAAACCGCGCCGTTCGAATGCAAACACAATCCGAGCAGAAGGCGGCGGCTCGGCTCCGAAGGGAACGGCGCAGGCAAGACCGACAGTCAATTCCAACGAGATGTACATGTTTCTCTGTGGATGCTTTTGGATATTCCTCCTCCTCGAGCGGGGCAAACTTCTCGGGACAATCGCAGAAGAGTTCTCGGGAGTTCAACTCAAAGAGATGGAAGATCATGGCTTGGTTGACGCGGCAGCGGCCCAGGCGTTGATGGGATAACCGGACCCGCGGAACATGCCGGCCGCCTTCGAGAGGAAAGGACATGTCTTTCATGTAAAGTACGAAAAGAATCTTCCATTCGCGGACGGTGCAGGCAGCCGAGTACGTCCTGTGGCACGAGCAATGGCGCCGCTCTCATTTCGTCGACGCTGCGTCCTAAAGTTCGGTTCTGCCGCACTCCTGCCCACCGCTCACCCCCGCGGGCTTCCTTGACATCCTCGCCGTCCGGACACCGATCCATCTGCCCCGTGGGAAAGCCAACCGTCGAGTTCAAGCTGCACCCAGACCTGGAGGCCAGGTTTCCAAGCTTTGTGAAGGACAAGATTGACGACGGCGACGCCCGGGCGACGTGAATGGCGACCATTGGGGAGTCGAGCCCGACAGGATCAGGGCCCACCGCGTGAAGCCGAGAAGGCAGATGACCAACCCGTGGCGCAGGCAGGATCTTCCCATCCCGCTGAATGCGCTGAGCATGGAGCGCTTGGCCTGCTGCCAGTTTTGGGGCGAGAGCGATGTCTGGGTGGCGCGCTGCCTCGAAGACGTGGGGTCCTCGGAGAGGGGGGGCCACCATGCCGGACACTTGGCGCGGCTTCACGGATTTCTTCGCGGCGAACGCTGAGAGGCCGGAGCAGGGCCCCCGCGGCCCGGACGGGCCGGCCACAGTGCGTCTGGACTTCTCTCTCGCCCCTCCCTCCCTCGATGTCGTCGCATCAGTCGGGGCCGCGCAGGGGGCCTTCCGAGCCCAGGTTTGAGTGCTTCCCCCTTCCGTAGCCCTTGCTCTCGAGCTTGACGCGAGTTAGACGCTGCCGCGCCGGGCTGAAGGGCGCTTCCAGGAGGAGCGCGATGGCTGCCCGATCTCAGTCTCCACTCGGGAGGTCCAGGCGGCGCGTCGCTGCGCGTCGCAGCGCGCGGCAGGCCGCCCTGCGTCTTCCGGCGGAGACGCTGGAGGCGGCGGTGGAGGGGGGGGGCTCCGAGATCGAAGCGACTTGGGATTCCCCATCAGATCCGCAAGACAATGGAATGCTCAAGCGCATCGATCACACGGGGCGCGAGCTCGGCGAGGTCGAGAAGAAGCTGCTGACAGAGGGCGGATACCTCTGACTCCTACGGCCCATCGCTGGAGGAGATGGACACTCGCCGTGCTGGTAATGTTCAGGTCGCGGGCAGAGTCTCGTTTGCTGGCCAGCTGGCGCCGGGACTTGGCGGAGGAGCCAAACTGACGGTCAAGGGGGACTTCTGTGACCGCCCGGCGATGTCCAGATCGAGCCGCGCCAACCAGCGCGCTCGGCAGGTCAATCCTCGCAAGCGCGGGGCCCGCCTGCGCGCCTACAAGCTGGCGGAGGAAGAGAAGCCGCTGATCAAGATCGGGAAGGAGACCATCAAGAGCGAGTGCATTCGAGCCAAGCAGGGGTGGGGGGAAGTCAGGATGGCGATGCAGGCAAGGAGCTGCGACAAACCACTGCAGGGCGTCGAGCCGCTCCCCCAGTCAGGGGCTGGGTCGCCCCGTTGCTCCGAATGCGAAGGCGGGGCCGATGCCCGAGATGGCCCCCGCGAAGCCTCCGCCCAAGCAGGTCGCCGCCCGCATGGGCCCTCCAACAGCCGGGGCATTCGTCGAAGCGGGGCGCCGCGCCGAGTTCGAGACCAATCTGAAGAACCAGCAGGATAATCGAGCAGAGATTCCCCAGTGGATGTTCTCACGGCGCCGCGAGCCGGAGATCGCGAGGGCTCGGCTCCGGGAGCTGATGGGGGTGATGCGAGGCAGCTTCTCTGGAGCAGCCAGCAGCCAGAACATCCTCGACGCCGGGGTGGCGATCGTGGCGATCAGCGACGAGGACTAGGCGGCTCGTTAGTCGAGAGCGGGATCGACCGGCTCAGGGGGGGGCTCCGTCGCAGGCAAGAGCCACTCCATATCGCAGCCGAGCGAGGCGGCCGGCGCTTCGCCGGAGAAAGGGGTTGCTCGTCGTTCTCTTTCGCCCATCGCATCTTCCTCCATCCTGGCCGTTTCAGATCTACCTTCGGGGCGTCGAGAGGATCTCATGGGCTTGCTTCCCGACCAGACTGGTCCGGGGACGTGGGCCGCGAAACGGTTCTGGGCTCTGGATGTCAGGGGTAGCCATCAGCAGAGAAAGTCTCAAACGATCGACTCGTGGCTCTGGGGCCTCGATTACGGAGAGACCACACCTCCCGAGGAGGTTTCTGCAGAGGCCAACTGGGGCGAGAGACATCTGAACCCTTCGGAAACCAGGAGTCCCAAGGCTCACCTTGCGATGAGGGCCCAGGGGGACCGCGAGGTGAAGCTGCCTTTCCCCGGGATTCGTCGACTAAGGGTCACATCCAGCAGTTGCACGCGGACCGCAACGGTGGTCGACCCCCCGTGGGTGGGGGCCTCGGCTTTCGATTTAGCTGAACGGCTGCAGGGTCCGAAGGGCTCGGGCGTCGACGTCTCCATCTGGGTCCCGGCTGGAGCCTCGGACTCGCTTCCTAGGGGCTGGGCCCCCCTCGACAAGCGCATTCATTTTCGGCCTCGGTCCCCAGAAAGGTCCGAGAAGGCGCGCTCAGGTCATTGCAGGGTCACGGGGCGAGAGCCTCCAAGAAGAAGCCAAGGCAAACGCTAGGTCGAGAGCTCCTACGACAAGGGCGAACGCTGCTTCTAGAACTCTTCTCCGCCGAGAGTGACTCCCGAGATGCAGAGCGCCGTGGGTGCCCGTGTTCGAGCTCTCTGGATTTGGAGACTGGTTGGGATCTCCGAAAGTCCACGGAATGGGCCCGCATGTTGAGTATTTTGGAGACCGATAGTCCCGAGCTTGCGATCATGCCTCCACCGCGTAGAGGTGCGCCCATGGCCCGGGCCCCAAACTAGAACAAGATGGACGCGGGCAAAATGAGCCGAGCGGAACAGGGGCGCATTTGTTGTTGGGGGCTGGCCATTCAGGCGGCGACGTTTCAGATTTCGACAGGCAGAAGGTTTCTGATCGAGAATATTGCCAGGGCCTTCTCGAGGCAGCTTCCGTCGACGGAAATCCCGTCAAGGGGGCCCGGGGTCTCGGAAGCCAGAGGGGATCAGCGCGCGTTCGGTCTGAGAACGTTGGACGGAGGTCTGGCGAAGAAGCCCGCTCGATTCATGTCGAATGCGTCCTCTCTGCTGCAGTCGCGCGGCCGGATCTGCTCGGATGACCGCTCTCATGCCAGTCTATCCGGCGGCGCCGGGACTTCCGCCGCTGGGCTATTCCCCCCGGGTCCGGTGATCGCCCTGTCTGAGGGCATCGAGCAGGCTGCCCGAAACGGCATGGCAAGCTCCTCCTGTCCCTCTGCCGCTGCCGAACCCGCGCCAGACCC